ACCAGATTCAGTACATAAGTGCTACTGTTTGAAGAAAACCTGTAGCGCAATTCTGTAACTTTTATCGACACGATTTGTCGGATTGCAAACTTGCGAATTTTTTCGCTTGCGCTAACGATTATGCGATTTCTAACTCAGTTTTTACGATTATCAACAACGCTCATTTCCAATTTATTAGAATTAAGGAAAGATTGTACCACAGCTGAACAAAGCGTCAAAATATACGAAAATCACAAAGAGAAATGAAAAAAAAAACAAATAAATTCGTTATAGAAATTATATTTATTAGATGAATACCAATGCATTACGCAGTTTATCAAATCAAAAACATGTTATTGTTTGCACTTTCATGCATGACTCTTCACTTTATAGAGGAACTCCAAATAAAATAATTGAGCCGAGCTCTTGGGTACTTACCATTTACCGCTATAGTCTTGGGATAAGGATCACATATCTTTAACATATATAATGAACTTTGTTACTTCAATAGTAATGGAAAAAAAACTTACTGTCACTATTTGCACGTTGATAGAATGGTTTCCAAGAAGGTTGACATAGGCTTCTTCGATAGCCCCATAGTGCCTTCAACAATTGGCGACGAAACGGTTGACTGTCACTGACTCATGGCTATTTCTAATTGCTCTCCGACGGGGCAATGGTAGCATCCAGTTGCATAGCATCGCAAGACGTTCTAACCTTCAAATATATTAATATTCAATATATTATAAACATATATATAAAAGTTATATTATTACCTACTGCTCAGTAGATAATGCTGTTATTCTTCTATCTATTTCGTTGGCTATCAAAAAACTCAGCTTCATTCGAGTGGAAACGATCTTCAACTTCTGAAGGCAAACTTCCACCCAATGATGAAGGATACAATACTTCCTCATCTTGGGATAAAACGTATGCCAAATGCCCAAAAGAGATTTTTGTTTATAATTTTATTTGTTTTTTATAGATGTAACTTAGTCAATTTCCCGATTTACTTTACTTTATTTTAACCTTAATGAAATAACGATATTTTGTCGATATCGCTAACAATTTAAAAATATTTGTCGCATAGTTGGCGATTTGATGAGTGCGAATGTCATTAAAATAAGTACACTGAATTTTAAAATCGTTAGAATTATCGGTAAGTTATATATGCGATCCGAAAATCGTTATAATGTATGTAGAGAACGACCCGAAAATCGTAAAATACGGTAGAGAATTCCCTACTGGAAATGTTTGAACTTATTGTTAATGGTAGTGTAGAGATTAAGAATCGTTGGAAGAAAGAGAAGCTTACGGTACTTGCTTGAAATAGTTAAAAAAAAGACTACAAGTTATTGTGGATGTGAGGCGCGCAGTAAGTAAGCACTCTGCTGGTCGGCCAGAGTTAAAATCCCGGTGCAATTGACATACAAAAGTTATAGAAAATTAGTTTAAATAAAATATTTAGTTAAATTTTCTAATCGCGACCGCCCCTCGGCAGGAAATGTCAATGTCAACCCCTCTCGGAGGCGGCTTAGTATAAACTGTAGCTCGGGCGAAAGTCGTTTCAGCGGTTACAAAGCGTCAAATATATATATGTATGAAATATTTATATAACTCAAAATCACTCTTGCCAACAGCTGCATCTTTGGACTGAGTAGGCAATTGAAAAGTAAAGTTTCCTTAACTCTACAAGTCGCTATGGCGCAGAAGCGTGAATGAATCGGCCCTGCGAGTCTTCAAGAGAAACGTTTTGCGAATGATTTATGGTCCTTTGCGAATTGGCAAGACCGAATACCGCAGACGATGGATGAGATATATGGTTATATTGACATAGTTCAGCTACGCTGAATGGATGAAAGCACGGCAGCTTCGAAAGTATTCGAACAGTACCCGCTGGTATAAGCAGAGGAAGAGGAAGACCTCTAGTCCGTTGGTGGAGAGTGACATAGCTTCACTAGGTATTTCCAACTGGCGCCAGACAGCGAAAAGAAGAGAGGAATGGGCGAGCTAATATCGATACGGTTATAATCGCGTAGGCGGTGCCAATGCCAATAAAGAAAAAAGAGTAAAATAAACATCTCTGGAGCTTTTGTTGAGGTAGTCCCCGTCGCGCCTGCTATATCAAAGAGACCCAAGATGCCCCTTGTGGAATGCTACATATAATTTTGTATATGATTTTAACACCTTCCACTCCACATACAGACCATCTATTTCATAACATATGCCTCAGCCAGACAAGTAAGTTTTGGTTCATCCAAAAAGAAACAATTGACAAGAACAAAGCGATAATGATTACATTGTTAAAACCAGAATAAATACCGCAAAGGAAAGTTTGTCGTTTAAATGTGGATTTTTCAATTATCCCGACTACTTCATGTAGAGTGGTATCAATAGCTTTACTTTTCAAGTATGCGTGCTCTCGGTATGACAGTCGGTCTGTGGTTATTTGTTGTTGATCCAGTCGTCACAGGCACAAAGAAAGTTCGACGTCGAAAAGCTGCAATCACAACAGACAATCGAATAGTTTTTTACTCGAGTTGCATATCTGCTCTCTGATAGCACTCACTAGCAACTCGATATAAGGGAACTGTGGGACGGAATTTCATGCTCCCTATGTGCAGCTGCAAACGAAACTATTGGTTTTCGAAAAGGTCACAAAAACAGATGGTACGATGAGGACTGCCATGGCGCAGTGCGCAGTGGAGAGAAAAGGGGCTGCCCACCACGCAAGAGCTTGAGAAATAGAAAATTCTACGAAAAGATACTGCCACTTACAAAAGGTTGCGAAGCAGACTCTTGTAGGATACAAAGAGGTCATGTAGTTACTGAGGGCTAGGATGTACTGAATTCGTGAATGGAACCCTTCTTCAGTCTGCTGAATGGTAGTGAAAATGCAGTACCAGGAGGTGGCGAACCCGATTCACCAATCGTTGGCTACAGAACAAATGTTTCGTAGCCCGACTATGAAGTTTGAATAGTTATCACCACCTTGAAAAATAACAAGGCGGTAAGGGCCGAGCCATTCAAATGTGGCGGTGAAGAATTACTAAAATGCCTCTTCGCTTGTAAGTTACTATCAACAATGTGATCAGTGTGCCTTTAGACCTGGTAAGTCAACCATTAATCAGATATTCACCATCCTGGAAAATTCTCGTGAAAGAGGATCGGCATACATCAATTCTTCGTCGTCGGCCTTCGACAGCATGAAAAGGAGCTGCCTCTATGCCGCTATGACTAATTTCGGTATCCCTGTAAAACTTATGCGGATATGTAAACTGACGCTAAGCATTAGCAAAAGATCAGGATAGACCTCTCCGATCTTGTCGATACCAAACGACGTTTTAGAAAAGGGTATATCCGGCTTCCACGTCATCGTTGGCAATTATAACTTTGAAATCGTAGATAATTTCGTTTATCTTGAACCAGTATAAGCACCAACAAGAATGTCAGAAATCCATCGCAGAGGCACTCTTGTCAACAGCTGTTATTTTGGACTGATTAGACAACTGAAAAGTGAAGTACTCTCTCAACGAATGATGACCATAATCAATAAATCGATCACAGTTGCTGTGACGGCGTTTCGGTTTTTGGGAAGATCACTTATATATGTATAAGACGGGTCGTAATACACTCACTTCAGAGGATTGCGGAAAAATCGTATTTCCGGCCATTTTTACTTGAATTTTATACGGGAAGTGGACCGATCTAAAATATTCTATTCATGATTAGGTTTGGTTAAATTTTTGGCTGAAATCCCTAAATAGAATACTTTTATCTCTTGAAAATAGGCCAGAGACCTGAAATCAGGTTCGATTAGCTGAAAATATAAATAATACGTTCTTTACGGGAAAAGGATCGCCGAAAGATTGACAAAAATTAATATTATCCCGCATAGGTTTATTCGCCTCGCATTGTATTTATTCTGCGGCTGCGAGATACATACTATTTTCATATGTAAGTTCAACTTGGATGTGAGAAAACATATGTAGGTCCGAATGGTGGTTTTAGCTTACCTCATGGCATTCATATTCACATTTTCATGATTTTCTTCCTGTTTTCCAACAATTTTGCAGTTACCGTCTGACTCTTTTCCCGTGGAATAGCAGCTACGAATTTGGATCGGGTGAAGGAAATTGAAATCATTACTTTTGCTGCTGATTTTTGTTGCTTAGATTTTACGGATGGGTTTGCTCCTGTTAGGCTCTATACCATGGACTGCTGTTTGGTCAGCAGTAACGATTTTACTTAAGTTGCATTCCCTGCCGCAATTACAAATATTAACTCCATTTTTTATATTTAAATTAGTTTTCTATAATTTTGGATGTTGGTCGAAGCAGGTCGAAATGGCAGTATGCAATGCTAATAGTCGAGCACCTCGGCCGCCATCGGCGTTTTGTCTCCGCTTAGGCGATTTTTCGGCCGAGTTCCTCCAGTTTATACTAAGCTGCCTCTGGACGGCCGATGGTTTTTTAACGAGGAGCCTTTTTTATTTCATGTCCGAAATAAACTCGGAGGGGTAGACATTCCGTGCGGAGGGGGGACCGCAATTAGAAAATTTAACTTGTTTTTTATTTAAATTAATTTTCTATAACTTTTCGATGTTGGTCGTACGGGGATTTGAGCCCGAATCTTCCGAATGGCAGTACGCAATGCTAACCACTCGGCTACCGCGGCCGCCAATTACCTATTAGAATAAACATTGGACGAAATACAGAAAACAACAACAATGTGTGGAATTTTAAATGAATTTCCCTTATGTTCGACTTAGAGTCTGATTCTCAGTTTAATATTCGATCTTCGATTTTGATAGCCAGTGGGGATAGAAAGTGGAATGCAGTGGCTACCAGTAGATTATTTAGCAAGCTGTATAGCTAGGATGCTATGGAACTTTTTGAAGAATATATAATAAAAATGGATAGCAGATTCCGTCCAATTCTATTACTTAATTAATTGTTATAAAACAAGTGCATACTGGAAATTAATTTCTATCAATTATATTTAAAACAAAGAAAGCCCGATTTTCAGTATCACTTTTTATAAGCATTTCGACTGGGATTATTTATATATTTTAGCAGTGTTCATTTGTCATAAATACATGATATTTTGGTAAGTGCAAGTAAAAAATTCGATATATTTTTACAGAACACCAAATAAAGGCAATGAAAAAAGGCAGAATAATTTTTTAAGTAATAATACAAATATATGACCATGGGTATTGTTCAGGATTAACAAGAAAGCATAATAAATTAATAGAACGATTAAAAATCTTGCACAAAATGACCTGAATTAAATAAAAATCTAAAACGTGCATTTCCAATTCGTTAAATATTTATGTTACAGATATTCTGCTTTAAAAGCTTTAATGCTAATTTTTCCAATATTATCAGACATTGAATTTATAATCCAGCCAGCATTATTCTAGGATCCTCTACGGCAGCCTTGATTTTACGTAAGAACATTACAGCTTCACGCCCATCAATCAATCGATGATCGTAAGTAAGAGCAACATACATCATTGGACGTATGACGACCTAAAAGTTGAAAAATTAAGAAAATCGTAAAATTAAAAATACTATCTATATAAGTTTTGTATGACTTGCCTGTCCCTTTACAGCAACTGGTCGTTCAAATATTCCATGCATTCCCAGGATAGCACTTTGTGGAGGATTTATGATTGGAGTTCCCATCAAAGAACCGAATACACCTCCATTACTTATAGTAAAGGTTCCGCCATCCATGTCTTCAATGGCGATAGCATTTCTTTTAGCCTTCTCACCAAGAGCAGCTAGTGCAATTTCAATATCAGCGTAATTCATACTTTCAACATTTCTTATCACTGGAACGACAAGACCTTTTGGTGTTGCCACGGCCACTGAAATATCAACGTAATCACGGTAAACGATTTCCTAGAAAGATACGAATATCAGGTAATAATCATGAATGAATAATAATTATATAAAAATTTTACAACTTAATGCCTATTAGATAGAGTTTGGATACCGTAACCAAATACAGTTAAGAACGGGCTAATGGGTTCACCAATACACTCACACGATTTCGGGCAGCACTAACACATATGCAAATTTGTTTGTTTATCTTACCCTTCTGAGTATATACAAATTGAATAGGAATTCAGTTGAACGAATTATCCGATTTTAGAGCGTCATTTTTTATCGTTTTCTCCGCAGTAGATAGAAGTGAAAAATATATGATGAGGATTCTGTACAAGTTGTGGTCATAATATATTAATTAACTACTTCATTTCTCATATCTCTTTACATTGTTTTTATTTAAGAGTACTCCATATTGTACGGAAAATTCTGTTAATGGAGCAAGTTGAGTAGAATGCATGTTTGTTGTTGTTGTTGTTGTAACCCCAAAATTTTTCCCCAAAGAACTTTTGGGGTAATGTTGCAGGAGTGACAGTCCTTGGCCGAATAAAAATTCAGGTCGTTCCTGTATAAAGACCCGACTGTCGCGGGAACTATTGGATTTTAGTCGCCTCTTACGACAGGCATGCCTTACCGCGGGTAAATTCTTGAGCCCCTTACCCGCAGGGGGATTAGAATGGACGCTTCTCATCTTGAAGCAGCAGCACATCTCAAAAATATTCTACAAAACTTTGCGAGGAACAACTGCATGAGGATATTGATAACATTATGATTCGAAAATTATTTTTTAATTTTACTTAGATGTTTTTATACTTCAAGGGAGCTGCAATTATGACGGAGGCGCTCGTGGAGCTGAGGAGCTGCGTCACTATTAAAGACTCTGTATATGCGGTTTTGCTTAAGATATTTTGCTAATTTTTGTACCAAATTTATTGTTGTATTGTAATTTCTTTTGTATGCTATGTAAACCATGCACATAACTTATGTTAAATATTGAAATAAAACTGAATCTTAATAATGTTTGTATATATATATATATATATATATATATATATATATATGGGAAAATTTTTGTCAAAGCTGAGTGTCAATGCTGTCGCTCTTATGTGTTCGGCCTGTACGGCACTGCTGCTGTTTTTTACGTCCATATTGTTTTCTTTTGATATCAATGCCTTTTCTTCTTATATTCTGTTCGTCCGGCAAGAATGACAAAAATGCACAAGGAAACGACGAGAGAATGACGTACACGTATACAAATGTAAACATCACGTTTGTCATTTCGTCCTTAAGAAAGTGATAGGAAAATCGTTTTAAGAGCTGACGGGATATGTCGTCATGGATTCCTGACATATGTTGGCTCAAATGATCGGAAGCCTTCTTTTAGGGAAGTATTTAAATGCGTACATCGGGCATAAAGATTTGTATTTGTGGTTTAAATGATTACCTAGCTCTTACTAAGAGCTTCTTCAGACTTGTTCGTTTTGATCCAATACAAATAAATATTTACAACCATATACTTTCGTGTCTACCGATTATGAGTTATCTTACAAGTAAAGGCTCACCTGTCCATCAATAACAGCATTAACCACGGGTTGATCTTGAAGTGCGTAAGCAGAGGCCTTTGAAAATATAGACATAAAGCCAATTTTGATACCAAACTTCTTTTGGAAAGCATCCAAATTAGTTTTACGGAATTCCATGGCAGCGCTAAAAAACGAATTATATATAAATAATTAAGTCTAAAAAGCTCACTTGTTTACACAGCATACCTCATATCAATTTCGTTAAATGTAGTCAACATAGCGTTTGTATTTTGTGCATCCTTTAAACGAGAAGCAATCTTTAGACGCATTCGATTCATTTTTACGCGCTGTTCGGTGCGAGTTCCAGTAATTTGACGCGAGTAGTCTCCTGGCGGTACCTTTATTTGAGGTGCTGCTTGAGCAGGAGGCACTGAGGCAACTGGAATTTGCCCAGCAGGTGCTGATGGCTTGGGTGGTGGTGGTGGTGGTGGTGCAGCCCTTGCCGCTGGCGGTGGAGGAGGTGGTGTCGGAGCAGGAGCCGCTTTTGGAGCAGGGGGTGCTGCGGAAGGCGCTGGAGCAGCAGGTTTTGGTGGTGGTGGTGGTGGCGTTGGAGTAGCCGCAGCTGGAGCAGCGGCAGTTGGAGTACCTTCAGCCTTCTCAAGTTTAAACAAGGGTTGACCGGCCTTAACGGTTGTGCCATCTTCAACTAAAATTTCTCGAATTATACCTCCGAAAGGTGCGGGTACAGGCATAGCTGTTTTGTCGGTTTCTACCTCCATAACAACTTGATCTTGAGCCACATAATCACCGACTTTCACAGTATACCTTAGAGGAAAAATTATATTTACATATATCAAATTTACTTCATCGGTCTATTTATGTCCAAAAATTATGCAGATGAATGATGCTAAATATGTGAAAACGCTAACATAAAATAGAAAAGGCTCGAGAAATTTCCCGCGGTAAGGCATGCCTGTCGTAAGAGGCTACTAAAACCCAAAAGTTTCCGCGACACTAAGGTCTTTATACCAGAACGACCCCAATTTTTATCCGGCCAAGGACTGTCAGTCCCTGGAACATTCCTCGAAACGTACTTTGGTACTTTTTTGCAACAACAACAAAGTCGTTCGAAATAGTTTTCAGACAAGTGCGCTGTTACACACATACTCACTAAATACATCTCAGTATTGAAAACGTCTTACGAAATATTTATTGTACTACTACTTTAAATTGTTCTTCACTCGTTTTTAGTCTAATAATCAAAATGTACAAGGTTAGATAAGAAGAACGTGCCTTCTTTTTTGGCAAGTCGATCTAATGAGTCAACCAGAAATTTCTTATCAGTAATTGTTTATAGCGAAATTATTTAACGTTGGCTTTGAATTTGAATAATGTATTACGTATTAAAGTCTGCAATTTTTATAGTATTAGCTTTCTCTAAAATATATATTACTTACATTTTTGTAAAAAATATTGAGTATTACTTACTTGATATCACCTTCCGCCACAGACTCGGGAAAAGGAGGGGTTTTTATAGTTTCTATTGCCCACAAATTACTAGTGGTGTGGAAACATTGAGCTCCAAAAGAACCAATAGTTCTGAAAACATTGACGTTAGGTATTTATTGCAACATAACAAAACGGACTTACCGCTTGGATGAGGAGCATGCAAGCGGTGAGAGAACTTCATTTCCAGACTGAACCTGAGGTTGTGTCACTGCAGACAATTTTGAAAATTGACGTATTACAGCTTCGGATTTAACCTAAAATGGAAAATGAAAGTATCTTAGAGGAGATCTTTTAAAAAATTGATTGCACAACAGAGCTGCAAGGTCACATGAGTAACAAAAACTCCTTTGCATAATCTAAAAGACTCGAAAAGTCGTATAGCTTCAGTTAATAATTACAACTTTTTAAAATGTTACATAACCCGCAGTTGGAAATAATTTGATTTTGATCCGCAAAGGTTTACAAGAATGTCCACGCCCGCTATGTATACAGTTTCCTTTCATTTTACCTCTTGGCTGCATGCCGCCTGCATTCCTAATTTCAGAACATCTCGCGGCAGGCGCCGTATCGACCTCGAAATTAATCCCGACATTACAATTCACTTAATACAAACAAACTTTTAATTCAATATATTTCGGAATACTGAAATTTTCTTGTTATTCCCTACACCGCACACTTCTCGGCAAGCGAACGTATTGAAAGCAAATTCGCACTGCTGTCATATCATTAGAAACTCTTTTGACAGCAAATTAAGAAACACATATCAAAACAAAACAAATGAGTTCTGTTCGGTGACCTAATGAGCAGTAACAATTGTTGCTGAATTTTGCTGAACCACGTTCGTTGAAGCAAACAACCACTCAAATTTTTCAACGAAATAAGAAAAAATTCGGGCAATGGAAATTATCACGTTTATAAAACCATTGATTTGTAATCATGTAGGTAAATTTGTGGATGATAACAAAGTAAATGATTAAATGTAATTTTGAACAATAACAACGATTCAATTAAGTAGTAAAGACACCCGATAACAAATTTTGTGGCAGGGGAGCGTAATTGTCGCACGCAATTTTGTACAATGTAAGCCGATTTTGGATTCATTTAATTTACCAGACAGCTGTGTCCACCAAGTGAAGGGAATGCCATATAATTGTCATTTTTATTACAACAATAATGAAAATACCGTAAAAATTAACGGAATCAAATGTAACTGGCAAAATAAAGAACTGTTGTACAACATGCTGGCTAATTTGTGTTGTATCCTCTTGGGCGAAAACCCAGTATATATCTCCTTACTGGCTAATTCTTACTGACATTTTTCACCGAACAGAGCTGTGATTAGTTCTGTTCGTTAGCTGTTGACCAGTGCTAGTAGGCACCAACTGTTAGGGTGCTGTCAGACACAGCAAATATTGGACTAGAAATAGAGATACATATTGTATTGATTTTCACTAAATACGCCTCGATTATTTCCCAAATCTTTCGAGTTTTCTCACTGGATCGGCAATAAGAATCTCAAGATTTGCTTCTATAATTTTGGTGGCCGAAATAGCCGAGTAGTTAGCATTGAGTATTGTTATTCTATAGGCCAAGGTTCGAGTCCTCAAGAATTTACCCGCGGTAAGGCATGCCTGTCGTAAGAGGCGACTAAAATCCAATAGTTCTCGCGACAGTCGGGGCTTTATACCGGAACGACCCGGATTTTTATCCGGCCAAGGACTGTCACTCCCGCAACATTCCCCAAAAAGTACTTTGGGGAATAATTTTGCGGTTACGACAACAACAACAACAACACCAACATCCAAAATTATGGACAACTAATTAATTGCATTCGCCCCTCAGCAGGGAATGTCAAAACTTACAATTGTATTTCTGACAAGAAATAAAAGCTCCTCATAAGAATCCATCGGCTATTCAGAGACTTAGGTCTCTCCATTTTGCGAGGAAAACATCACGAAGCCCACCACGAATTGGAGGATGAGCTCGACCGAAAATCACTCCAGCGGTTAGAAAGCGACATAATGTTATTATAATACAGTATAGTATACACAGTTTACTCCGCTTCACTAAAATTAATAGCGCGCCTCTCTCTTATAAATCTACAGATTGCTCGCAGGTATGTTCTATTAGATTCCGTTTGAATATTTTCGATAAGGAACATTCTTGCTTTATTTAGAACATTCTTGAGTCATCGGCCTTTGCTCACAAGTCATTCGTATTTGGCATTAACGGTACACTGTATGTGGAGACCTACATCTGATCATTCCGACCAAGCCTACCTTTATCAAACGAGGCGCGTCTCCCCAGTGGACCACTTCCATATTGTTCCATATCTAATGGTTCGGATTCGGTATTCATTTTATTCAGCCGTTTTATAACTTTTTATGGACAATTCAAATTCCACTGTAATATCGGAAACAACCATTTCTTGCGTTTAGAATGAACAAAGAAAACCAGATCTTCTTCCAGACAAACCTTCGGTTCTGTAGGCTTATCATATCGGGCGTTTACGCTGCCACTCATAGCCTTTGTACACTGTCCAACAGTGACCGAAATTTAGTGGTGCTTTCAAATCGCCACACTTAATCAGTCTTTCATTTAGGTTGATCTTCATTTCTTGCGGAAGTAGCAAGTCCGCATAAACTATAACTTTAGTCATTGTCGCCTCTATTAATGTATGTAACACTGCCACATTTCCGATTTTGACTTCAATTTTGGTATCCTGAGCAGTTACCGTCCTCAGTCTGGCTCCCGGCAATGACCTTACCTCTCTGGTAATCAAGTAAGCTCGCATTATAGATTGCGAAGCGCCCGTAGCCAGTGTAAGTATTTCCACATGTCTATCCACGTATCCACGAATCTTAACGTTGCTCGATTTTCTACAATTTGCTATATGGAGATTATTAGATATTCTTCCTCAGTTTAACGTTTCAGCGCTCTTTCATGTTTGGTGGAACTCATAGTACAGTCAATTTGGCTTCTGGTTACGCTTTCCAGTGTCATCTGGTACCTTTTCTTCAGATACCCGTTACCATAACATTTTAGATAAATACTTACATGATCTCCGCTACAGGTCCAGTCAATACTAGGAAAAAACAGTAGTTTTGTCCTTTATACTCCAGTTGTTCATTGAAGCCGTCTTTTCGAGATGTAGCTTAAATACCTGGAAAGTAATTGTATGGCCAGTGGATAGTCACGGGTGTTATACAAACCAAAACAGAATTGCTTATTTATTGGATTTGAAAACCAATATCTGTTTGAAATGGTGTCATGAAACCGAAGATAAGCAAAACCGATATTCGAATCAGCTGCCATCATACTTGTGCAAAAAACTTAGCAATTCAATTTAATTTGTGTGCTGGTTTTAACATATTTCTCATTATTAACTAAAAATAAAATGACATCGGCAGGGATAATGTTTTTGTATGCTAAAAAAATTTGGAGAAACCATTCAATATCGACTTATCAAAGAAGTCTTTAGTTTAGAGTTGATATCCGGCTGTTTGCATAGAGTGTGGGAAAATGAGATGGCCAGTGCTCCCGGAAGGTAATAGTAGTTCCGCAGTTAAGAATTTCGAATGTTCTTAAGGAATTTCATAACGGTCCTAGTGGAGGGCACCTAGGCATTCCAAAGTTCTGGAAAAGATCAAGCAGCGGTTCTATTGGGTTGGCTGTCGGCAATCGGTCACGGACTGGATTGCTAATTGCAAGGAGTGCATAGCAGCTAAAGGCCCAAAGTTTCGAAGTCATGGGCAGATGAAGCAGTATAACGCGGGGGCACCATTTGAGCGGGTTGCCATGGATGTAACCGGTCCATTCCCTATGAGCAAACAAGGAAACAAATACGTTATTGTGGTTATGGACTACTTCAGTAAATGGCCTAAAGTTTACCCAATCCCAAACCAAGAAGCTAAAACAGTTGCGGATGCATTCACTAACAATTGAGTTACCAGATACGGTGCGCCTGTAGAATTGCACTCAGATCAGGGAAGAAACTTTGAAACGGCGGTGTTCCAGGAGATGTGCCAGATACTTGATATTCGAAAAACCCGAACGACAGCCCTACATCCTCAATCAGATGGTATGGTAGAGCGTTTCAACCGGACCCTGGAAGAGCACTTGCGGAAAGTAGTGGACATGCATCAGGATGATTGGGATGTGCGTATACCGTTTTTCCTGATGGGATATCGGTCCGCCGTGCATGTAACTACAGGGCAAACACCTGCGAGGATACTGTTTGGTAGTGAACTACGGTTGCCCAGCGATTTAAAATTTGAAATAACTGGCGATGCAAGAAGGATTGGGAAGGTAACGTCTACCGATCTCGAGGAAGAGCTAAGAGAGGTACATGCTCTTGTGAGACAGCGAACTCAAGTTATGAGTGACAAAATGAAGGCCAGGTATGACAAGGCGATGAACTCCGAGGGTGTCCAAAATGGAGGTTGCTGTACATTCCACAACGGAAGAGGGCTTTGTCGCCAAAACTTCAATGTAATTGGGAAGGTCCATACAAGACAATCAAAAGACTAAACGAGGTAGTGTATCGAATCCAAACCGTTGGGAGGCCCAGAAACAAAATGAAAGTGGTCCACCTTGAGAGGCTTGCTGAGTTTGAAACAGCGAATGTGTCTGATTAGTACGATCAGACTTAGGTGGAGGGCAGTGTTGCGAAAATGCAAGGCGAATGTCAGATGAAAGAGAGAAGCCGAAAACTAGTACGTTCTAGAAACGATAAAACAAGAACCTTCGATAGCGAACAACTCGATTATTCTACGCTTTCGTCTACGAGCAGCCGACTGCTATATAAGGGCGACACTCAGCTGCCAAGAAGTTAGTTACAAAGTGAACTCGTTGGCGACAACACTAGTATAGAGTCGTAAAGTAAACGCGTTAGAAATTACATTTAAGTTAAGTAAATTGTGAGTTTATGCAATTGATTGTAACTAGTAAAGTGCATTGTAATTGAATTGTGAATCACTGAGTAAATAAAGGACATTAGATAAATTCTTTATAACGAAAGAAACTGCAAATTAAGTAGGCGATTTTTTGTTTAACAATCCAGAGATCGTACCCGAAGGATTCAGAAAATCATCGAGGTTGTTTCAGCAAAATCGTAACAATATATATGTAGCATTCATGATTTAATAATAACAATTAATAATTATTGAATCATGTGTACCTTTGAGCGCATGACAAACATCACAATAAAAAATGATTTTAAGAACCCTTCAGCTTTTCAACTGAAGTTCGAAACGTTTTAGAAAATAAAATCGAGACGAACACTATAAATGATAAGACAGATTCATATGTACGAGTATGTATATTTATTCTTTTGCTTGAAATTTTTCAAATTAAATAATTTAATTCTGTTCTCGTTATATTTAATTTCTTTATATTTATTTTATTAATTTTCTATAAAAAACAATTAAAAGAAAGACAAACGTTAATACAGGCAAACCAAATGAGAGCGAAAAAAATGAAAGTAACAGTAAAATCAACATCATAAATTAAGTTGATAAGTAAATGCATACACCAAACGTACACTCTTTATAAAAACTAATGCGCTTGCTATAATTGGTTGCTTAGATAAGTATACACATAACTTGTTATGTATGTTCATACATATTTTAATTAGACTATTGACTAGTTTTATTTTATTTCCACGCTTGTTTCAGTAATTTGCGTGATGCTAAATGTTTTACCACCAATGAACCGCTTGTCAGAGCCAACAACACAACCGCGATCAAGATATAATCAAAATCTTCCTTTAACAAGTCGAATGTCTTCGAAGGTGCAACACGTGTGACGAACATGTCTGTAAAAATTATAAATGGTTACATTGAATTATATTTCGCATAAATATGTTATCGCATTAATATCAGAGATTTTTCAATTATTTTCTTTTTTTTTTTTTGAATATTATTGCTTTACACTGACCTAACCCAGTGGCCAACACCAGACATGTACTTTCCAAACCGCTGGGTGCTGTAAATATGTTACTTAAACGCACTATTGTTTGATTATAGTTGATAATATTTTCTGTTGGCAATGGCAATTCCGGAATGTAAGGTATAGCACCTTCTTCGCGTCCCTGTGTGTTGGATGATATCGGCCTCCGGGGATCGAGAAGAGCCCAAGGCATTTCGATGATAGCACCACTCGCTGTACCGACTATGAAGAGGTAAAATGCATATAGAATTTCATTTGTATGGCATAAGCTATTAATTATTAGTATTATAAAACTTTTTGGAAACATACTAAGCACATGTTTGTTCGTAATGCCACGCTCGGTGATGGTTTCTCTCATGGTCTCAACCATTGTAGGAATAATGTAGGCTTGTCGTTCAACCATCGGCATCGGAGGCGCATTCAATGAACTCCAGACAGTACTGTTAGCCTGCGTTTTACCTTCATATAATTCAACTGTGGCTGTGGAATTTTAAACCATGTTGGTTTATTATTACCGCAACAAATGCTAATATATGTATAATATGTAAATATTTACTAATTTCTGTGCGTCGCACTTTGTCATTATAGTACGATAAGGCAAGCCAGTTTTCTGAATGAACTATATGTACCGGTACCCGCGCACGACGATGAGTCATGGAGAAAACAATTAAGCCAGATACAACGTCCACGAGGTAGACATTCAACAAATCTGTGAAAATTAAAATAAAAAAAAGATTGAGTTAATTTTAGACTTTATGGTATGGACATAGTTATTACATTTGTGTATCGGATCATTGGCTTGCGTGATCACAGCAACCAAATTTGGATTTAAATACTTGTAAAGCACTGAACGATCGCCTAAAACACGTCCTTGAGAGTGCACATGTTCAAGGGGATTTTTCGCAGCTACAGCGACTAATTGATGATCACCGTTATGACCACCAAGTCGTACATTCCAAATAGGTAAACAATTCAAGACCTAGAAAAGAAAATATGTATAAATTTTATTAGTAAACAAAACAAGCACATTCTTTACTTGTACTTACCCCATCAACATATTGTACAAAGAAACCCTCAAGTATTGCTGAAGATTTGTCGGCAGTAAACAAATACATACCATGCGCCTAAAAAGCGAATATATATAAATAGACAAGCGAGTTTTTATAATGAAGATTATAATACCATTTCTTGCACATATTGAGGATAAACAGCGACATTATTTTGCGCATCTAGCAGAAGTAGACCCTTTATAGAATCTTTTTCTGATTCTGCAAGCAATGTTAGTTGTTTGATTTTGTAATTTAGTTTCAATAGTCCACCTTCTGCGGGTCTACCATTGATCGGATTAAAACGGAATAATATTCCGTTACCCGTGAGCTATGTTGACGAAATAAGTGTATTTGTCTCATACATATTTGCGCTAAAACTTTTCACTTATATGCATATGAATTTACCTTCTCTTTGGCTACAACTGTGCAGAGTGGTTGTAATGGGAAATGTTTGGATGTTCGTTGTACCATCAATCGCATTGGCTCATGATTCACGAAGTTCTGAGCTTCTGGTAAATATAGCTGCCAATGATGTTTTCCACTTATGTTGTCGATGCCAAAAACTTTGCCACTGCGTGTCAGCACAACAAGCATTTTATGTAAACCAAAAGAATCACGTACTAAGCCAGCCTTTTGCGTATCTGTTGGTGGTTGGCCCAAGCCGATCACATGCAAAAATAGGCTCTTAATTTGAATCGCCTGAGTAGATACGCGACGTAAGAAAGCACTGGCAATATCACCTAGTTGAAACATTCAAATTATAAGTTAAATACTGGAGTAAATTGTTGAGTTCTTTCAAATAAAAACACAAAGAATAAGAAAGAAGTAGTGCTTTTATCGGCCATGTAGAAGTCTTTATACCTTTCATAAACAACCAAATATTTTGTACAGCACTTAGAGTTGAATATTAATTCTCCTCTCCGAAAAATTGGCATATTCTTGCAGTGGCAATATGTATTTATTTGAGTTTACGTGTGTAGTATACCAAATTTCGTTTTATGGTGGACATTCTTAATAAAGTTAATTTATCAAGTTCGTGAAAGGTATAAAAAAAACCTTATGCAAAACTAAAATAATATAACGGCACACAAACCTTTAAGTATGGTATTTTTTGTTAAAAGTTTGTTTATAAAATAGCAAAATAAAAAAAATGTATATTGATAGTACGCAAATAAACATCAATATAAAAAGCAAAAAAATAACTACATTTTCTTCGCAAACAATTCCAATTATTTTCTGTACTCACTTTCAATACCCGTTGCATCCTCTTTAAATTCCATATGGTAGCAAAAAAATATTAGTTAATTGAAATTTTTATAAAAATCTACATAAACTACATAAACCGTATCTTAAATTACAAATCTTTCTCAGCTAAACTATAATTTTTTATTGTAATATTAGCTTTTCAAATAAATAAATAAATAAATTACATAATTATCTTTTTGAGAAAATACCCTATTTGTGATTCAATCTATTTACCTGTATTTCCTTTCATTTCATTCTCTAATGTTCCTTCTGCATCAGCAAGCGGGAGATCAATAAATTCACTGGCAACTATGTTCGCCAAAGATTCTTGCCGTTCCCAACGTAATTTACCCTTATTCACAGCCAAAATGGATTCGTCATCTGTACCAAGTATATACCAACATCCTTTACTTTGCGATACACATGCGAATGTCTTTAGCTCTGGAGTGCCGTAATAATCGGGATAATCCATATTGATTGCCATTTCTGGCACTGCTTCACAGCTATCTAAATAGTGTCCCCTAATTTGCAATACCTAAAAAATTGATAATAGAAAATTGGAAAATTGTAGTTATCATTACTTTACAAATTATTTTTGTCCACGATATAAAGAGAACTTGCAGTAATTCTACGCAAAAAATAGTTAAAACTTAACTCTTGAATTGTCTACAGTACATATGACTTACTAACATCTAAAACCAGATACTTACATTATTGACAACTTCTGCTTGCGCTAAAACTCGTCGCTTATGAAACTTCCCCAACAAGAAGCTATTACTTTCGTAATTATTGCATACGACAGTGTCTTCATGAATACTGATCAATTTTTTACCAATCGCATATGCGCCACTTATACCCTGTAAAATATTTTAATTGAAAATTTTTCACAATTTGTAAATTAAATCCTTGTCTAACCTCTACTGCACGAAGCTTGTCCCTTGGAGTATCAGAAAGAACTTTTCGGAGAATTTGCGGTTGGTTTGCTGTCAAATCGAAACCTATTAATTGATTACCATCTAAGCAGGTGTAATAGACACCGCTTAAGGCACAGTTCCCAGCACTAATCCATCCAGCAGTTATTTTGCCGGTTGTTTCTGTCGGGCGCCCAGTGGTGGCGAAATATGGTGTTACTTCAATATGACTATGCCAAAATGGAATTACGTGGTACAATAGCCCATTTTTATAAAACCAAATAGATGACTCTGCATGATCCGTTTGATGCGGCATCAAGGACCACTCCCAGTCCAAATTGCCACTAGCAACATTCCATCCACGTATTAAAGCAGGTGCGTGCCCTTGTACCGTTAGCATGTCGAATCCATGCTTTGAATTGGTTGATGCTGCAGCTGTACTATCTGCTTCATTTATGTTTACCGACGCGATTCCTACCTGCATTAGCTTCAATGATCCACGTGGCGGGTTCTCCAGCACTTGTCGCCACAATATATTTCCAGTTTGTGGTTCTAATGCAGCAACAACATTTTCATATGTACTGACCAATAATCGGGGACTAATTGAATTCAATTCTAATTGCCCCTGTCGAATTGCTCCAATGTTTTGCACTTTCCTACATTAATATGGGTTTTCAGCATTGTCTAAAATTTTGTTAATATCTTGACTTACCAATCAAATTTCTTTATTTGATCTTCATAGAGCGCATTGGTATAATTTAAAAGCGTTAAAGATAGCACTATGACTACCGTAAAAATATTAACTCGGGAAATCATGTTAAGCAGTCCTCTATGCACTTTCGTCAATTGGAGGCTATCTTCACAAATCGTATTTGAATTTACCTAAGATGCGGCCATACAAATATATGAAAATTAAATAAATGTATATTATTTGTGTTTAAATTACTGGTCAAACACAAAAAAATTGAGAAATTTAATTCAGCTTAATACGTTAATGTGAATGTAAAATTATTTCATTCTGACTCGGAAAAAATTGTGATTACAGAACACAGGGTTGCATATCTCGAATATAAAAAATTCTGTTGCAAAGTAATATCTTGTTCGGATCGAGAGCGAAAATACTACGAAAACAAGTTTTGTAGGTCGTGGGCTCAAGGGTTTTTGCACAACAATTGGGAGAATTTCAAATTATTTAATGTAATATACTTGTAAGAAGTATCGCAAAAGTAAAAAATTAGAATATAATTCTTTACGACTTATTTAATATTAAATTAAAGTGACAGTGTCGCGAAGAGAAAGTAATGAACAAACAATGCCAAATAAGCAAACAAAACAAATGCTCAATTTCAAATACATAGAAGTAGCAGCTGGAGGTTACCATGAGCATATCGTCTTTATTAGTTATTCGCCGAGAATTTTTGATACTCAGCGTTAGTGAATCGCAAACATCGAGAACATTTCGTAAGAGCTTATCAGATATGAGTACGAGCAATGGGTATGGGGCCATAGACAACTTTAACGCGCTGTGATGGGTTAGGGGCATGCCCATCGTAAGAGGCGACTAAAATCCAGTAGTTCCCGCGGCAGTCGGGAACTAAATACCGGAACAACCAGGATTTTTATCCGGCCAAGGACTGCCATTCCCGCAACAACAACTGTGTTTGCATATTTTGAGTATACGAGAACTGTCAAGTGGGCGAGAGAGCTGGGTGTTTAATGAGTTTAGTGTTTGAACTGTCATTTATTTTAGTTTACTGTAAATGTATATAATTGGCGCTTTGTAACCGCTGAAGCGATTTTCGGCCGAGCTCCTACTCCAATTTGTGGGTTTGGGCCTTGATGTTTTTTTTAGCAAATGGAGGGACCTACGCAATTAAAAAAACTAACTTAATTTTTTATATGAATTAATTACCTATAACTTTTTGGTTGTTGGTACCGCGGCCGCGGAATTACGAATCTCACACAATCGCACAATATTGGCAGTATGTCAAACAGCCATAAATTAATAAGAATGAAATAACAAAAGAGAAAAAATGACGTAAAATTATCATTGTTGCCAGTCGCAAGTAAAGAACAACAAGCAAACTCAACCTAAATACGCTGTGAAAAGTGTGTTTGAAGATATTGTTACGATTTTACTAAATCAACCTCGATTATTTTCTGAATCCTTCGGGTACGATCTCTGGATTGTTAAATAAAACTCGCCAACTTAATTTGCAGTTTCTTTCGTTATAAAGATTCTATCTATTTTCCTTGATTTACTCAGTGATTCACAATTCAATTACAAGACACTTTACTAGCTACAATCACTTGCATCAACTTTCACAATTTACTCTACTTAAATGTAATTCCAACGCGTTTACTTTCCGACCTTACTGATGTTCACGCCAACCAGTTCACTTTGTAACTAACTTCACTTGCAGCTGAGTGTCGCCCTTATATAGCAGTCGGCTGCTCGTAGACGAAAGTGTAGAATCATCGAATTGTTCGCTATGGAAGGTTCTTGTTTTATCGTTTCTAGAATGTACTAGTTATCGGCTTTTCTCTTTCATCTGACATTCGCCTCGCATTTTCGCAACAATATATATGAAATTTGACAGGTGTTTAGAGTGTTGTTTGCGACTAAACACGCTAGCGGCTTGCTTGGTAGAAACCGCCTATAAGTAAAAAATAGCAGACTGTGGGTGGCAGAATAAGTCAATGCGTGAAGTGAAGTGAACGAGTTCGGGGGATTACTGAAATCAACAACGTAAGTTTATCGAAAATCGTTTGAGTATCAAAAGAAGGTTTTTGTGGTCACCCTAATAGTTCAATCGAAATAAAAGTCGATTAGTACGATATCTATTACTTTATTAAGGAAAACATTTTCGTATTGTTTGTAAGTTTATTCAAGATTCCGAAATTGCGAAAATAAAACTTTAATAATATGATTGAGAAAAAGACGGAAAAGGTTAAACATGATACAAAACCTCGAGATGATGGAGTTGACTTGGAAAATCAGTTTATTTTGCGATTACCAGAGGTACCCTTTGCAGTTCTTCAAACACTTCTCAATATACAATATATATGTATATCAAGTTTTGTAAATTTTTACCTTCCAGGAACCAGCCAAGGCGTTACATGAAGCTTTATTAACTGGCAGTCTCAAAGATAGGATGACAATCAAACTGGATAATGAATTGCGCTATGGCGAGTTACGTTTTGATCATTGGTTATTGCATGCTAAAGTGGTAGACTTGCCTACTATCATTGAATGCCTTAAGACAATAGATACCAAAAATTTCTATAAATCTGCCGACATTTGTCAATTGGTATAATATTTGCAATCTTGTTGTGAAAAAATGTTGACAATCTCTTACTCTTTAACAGATGATATGCAAAGAAGAACCAGATGCATTAGACTCTGAAAAAGAATCTCCAAATAAAGGTAAAAAGAAGGATCCTAATAAAGTAGACAAAAAATACTTGTGGCCTCATGGAATTACCCCACCATGTAAAAATGTACGTAAACGTCGTTTTCGTAAAACATTAAAAAAGAAAAATGTGGAAGCTCCAGAAATCGAGAAGGAAGTAAAACGTCTTCTTCGTATAGATAACGACGCAGTGAAAGTGGATTTTGAAATCATAAATGAAGATTTAGATAAACGCTCCTTGGAACAACAATCAAAAGAATACAATGAAGGGGAGGAAGAATATAATGATGAAACTATGAATGAAGGAGACAAAAATAACGATTCTTCTTCACAAAAAGACATCAATGTTGAATCTGACGGTGACGATGAAGATGCACCATCTACTTCAGCGCCGATTGTGGGTGTTGGTGAGCACGATATCTTTGGTGAAGTATCATCTTCAGATGAGGAAGAGGACATGCAGCGGGACACCTCTCGACTACAAGATCTTGAGGAAATGTCACGATTGTCAGCGGATGATTCGCGGTTGTCTGACTTTTCTATTGGCGCTAATGGTGGGGCGGATGCCGCTGGAACTTCTGCTAGTATTATGACTGGCACTAGAATAGATAACACTATTTCAAAAGAAAATGCAACCGAATTCGACAAATCAATGTTCGGCAGTCCAAAGGGCGATGCTGATGATATCATTTCAAAATTCGGTGGTTCCAATTCGAGTCTGGCGCCTCCAAGTGGTTATTATGAAGAACAAAAACGTAATGAATATGACGACGACTTTTTAAACGAGGTTAACACCACAATGCCGCAATTAAATTCAGATCAAATTCAGAGTCGAATAGCCGAACTACGTAGGCAATACGAAGAGCTAAAAACCCAGCATTTGCAAAAGGCTCAAGAAATTTCGTCTATTCAAAATCCAACACTAAAGCAAAGGTTACAAGAAACCCTTGATAATTTGCAAAATCAGATGGACGACAAAGTGTCAGAGATTAGGGACTTGGAAAATATGTTGTAAAACATTATTCTATAAAGTAAAAAAGTATTGTTCTTTTATTTGAAATTTGTATTTTGGCTTTGATTTATGAACATTACATATATTTTTATAGTTATTATTCCCAAATAGCAATAAAATTAGATCAATGATTTCTACGTGTTAGGATTTCAATCAAACATTTTTGAAAAATGTTTAAGTTTTATAAACTGAAATATGTTAAATAAGATAATATTAGAGACTCGAGATTTAATATTTTTCCATTTCGTTGAGAAAGCATGGAGGGACATAAGCTGACATCGCAGTTAATTAACGCAAATAGACATCTCATTGAAGCTGAACCTCCACCCAGGCATATCAGAAAGGGTGTGCTAGATATGAAGGATACCATTCAGCAACACGGGCAGGAGCGCGTACTGACAGACCCCCCTGCTGGTGAAGTGTTTAAGAACTTACCCACGGTAAGGTATGCCTGTCGTAAGAGGTGACTAAAATCCAATATTTCCTCCGAAAGTCGGGTCTTTTTACCGCAACGACCTACACCTTGAGAGATTCCCTTCCCGTGAATGGCATACTCGGAATAAAATCACCACCTATTGCAGACGAAGGCCTCAAGCTGCCTCGTAAGACTCGCATAACAATGGCGCAAGGTCTGGATATTGTAGCGGGTTAAACTCCTACTTATCCATACTTGGCCACAACATACCCAACGTATGTTCAGCACCCTCTGATCCGATCCCGTCAAGACAGCACGTTTTTTGAAACTCTCGTTAGATGACCCCGGTGACTTTTGACTGTGACGGTGACTGGATTAATCTGTACCTCAGCGGGGTTACCGAGCGCTACGACAACAACAACAACAACAACGCCAAGTGGAGGCATAGAATCCTCGTTTCCGAGACAGACCAGACTGCTACTCAACTCAAATCCAATGGAACCCAGAGAAGGATCGACTAGATAGTCGACCACATTCCAATAGTTGCGAGCCAGAAGTATAAAATAAGATGAGATGAGAAGAGATGATACGGGACGAGACGAGAACAGAGGTGCCGGAACGAGACGAGCCGAGATGAGATAAGACAAGACAAGACCATACAAGTCGAAACGAAATGACAGAAGGCGGATGAGACGAGAGGAGAAAAACGAGACGAGACAAGACGACAAAAAAATAAGAGATGATACGAAACGAGACGGGAAAAGGAGAGACAAGACGAGACGAGAGAAGAAGAGACAAGACAACATGAGACCACACGAGACGAGAAGAGACGTGACGAGATGAGCGACCGAAGCGGAGGTTTTAGCATGCAGACGCGGCTCCATTCGTCACGCCGATCACGGAAATTTCCTCATATGGAGATTCGCCATCAAAATGGCATTCTCAACCGGAACAAGTGGCATTTGTTGATTAAGCAAAAACCCTTACAATTGGTGTCAAAGTAGGAAAGTCAAGTATGTCTCGAAGAATAACAATTTGTAAGTGTTCAAGATGCAGGATGTGAAAAGTTAATTAACCAAGAGAGGATTATCTCGATCCGGATATACGACAGATCTACAAACGGAAGACGTTGACTTGAGCCATTACGAACTCTTGGCGAGAACAAAGAGACATCCACAAAAGATGTAAAGAAGTAAGAGGTTGCTGTTGTCATCTACGAAGATTTAATCCATCATGGTTTGTTACGTTGCAGCCAATAGCATGTTCATATCCTACGGGCATGGATGTGTAACAAATTAATGTTAGTGTTTCACAAATGAAAGGCAGCATTTTCCAAAAGATAGATGTACAGCAGATCACCAACGAGGTAATGCCATTGCCAGGAGGAAGACCATAGAACGCAAACACGCAAAGGAACAAAAAAATTGTCTCCGGAAATGTTAGAAGGGTGTAGGGTGCTCTGAAGCAGAAACAAGGATATATACATAACTCTTTTAGACAACGTTCTCAAATTTGTTGTACGATTTTCTTAATTCTAAATACAGTGGCTCAATAAAGAACTCGGACATACATTCCACTGTTATTAACACACAAATTCAAGCTAGATCTTTTTTTAACCAATTGAAATTAAGCATTTTTGTTTTTTATGTTTCTGTAAAGTATCCCATGGGGATTTAAAAAATACCAATAACAAAGAAATTAAATAGTTTATAGATCTCTATTACCTATTTCGCTAAAATTTCGCCAAAAAAGAAGTCGCACATCTGGTAATATTACAGTTGCTTGGCATTTTAAAAAGGGGAATCCCACAATTGGTTCAAACATGGATAGACAGCCAACAGCCGACAAAGTTCAATTGAAGTAAGGAAGTTAATTATTAGTCATTTTGAAATAGGATACACCATTCGGGAAATCGCAGAAATTGTGAGCGGACTCCGCTAGACTGTGCATGACGTGATTAAACGACCGAAGTTGTTTTCGGCTGCAGATGAGCGGTGGATAGTGCAGCAACTCAAAAAAAAATCTAAACATGAGCGCTCCATTAGTCTTACGAAAAAATAATTATATTGGAAGAGTAGCACGGAAGAGACCATTTATAAACGAGATTAACCAAAACAAAAGGATAAAATTTGCAAAATGTCATGGGGATAAGAATTTTCAATTCTGGATAGAAGTTTTATTTGCAGATGAAAGCAAATTTATTATATTTAGGTCAGATGGACAGTCGTATGTGTGCAGAAACCCGAATGAAGAGTTGCTAGAAAAGAATTTACGTCCGGGGTGGCTCAGTAATGCTATGGGGTTGTATGTCCGCAGCTGGTACTGGAAATTTGTGTTTCATAAATGGTAATATGGACCACAAGCAACATCTGACCATTTTAAAAGAAAAATTAGTGCAAAGTGCGGAAAAGTTGGGAATTAAAGACAATTTCCAGTACTACCAAGACCATGATTTCAAGCATAAAGCACTTGATGTTCGTCTATGGTTGATGTATAACTATCCTAAAGTGCTTGAAACACCTCCGCAATCTCCCCGACATTAACGTAATTGAACATCTGTTGGCTAAACCCCTGGGTTAGGTGCTCAAGAATTTACCCGTGGTAAGGCATGCCTGTCGTAAGAGGCGACTAAAATCCAAGAGCTCCCGCGACAGTCGGGTCTTTATACCGGAACGACCCGGATTTTTATCCGGCCAAGGACTGTCACTCCCGCAACAAAAAGTACTTTGGGGAATAATTTTGTAATTACTACAACAACAACAACATCTGTGGACTCATTTGGAAAATAAACTGAAAATGCATATTATTTAAAATAAGAAATACCTACAGGCCGCTATTTTGGAAGAGGGGGCGGAAAAAAAATTCTTTAACATGCAAGAAGCTAGTTGAATCTTTGCCAAGAAGACTGAATGCTATCAGAAAAAGTAAAGGCTTGCCGACCAAATAGTAATAATATTTTGTTTCTCTTTAAATAAAATTTTTAAATTCTATACATACATACATATAAATAAGTCCGAGTTCTTTTTTGTCACCAGTTTTGTTAAGTTGTTATGTTCATTTTATTTTTATACGACCGAGTTGAATTTAGTTTATGGTTTTGGTTGATTTGAAAAACACACTTGAAGAATAGAAATATATGTTTGCATTTTATTATATATTTTTTGTTTAAAGTCATATAACTTGTATGTCCGAGTTCATTTTTGAGCCACTGATTTCTCTCTACTTCCTTAATTTCCACCGTTGTTGGCACCAACTAAGTTATTGACTAGCGCTGTGTTGGCCGCTCTCTTATATACCTCACTGATTCATCGTACTCCGCTCTGGCATGTTCTCACGATGTACGAAACAGTCGATATTCGCTCTTTAGACAGTGATTTAGTTATCGGCCTCTGCATTTCATTTTTCATTGGTCTAGACCATATAGGGAATTTTCGCCACACATTAATGAGAAAGTTGCAACACTGATTGTCAAACATTTTATTTTTGTTTTGCTTTTTATTTTCTTATAATCAGATGTTCGTACTAATTTGTAAGATTTTCTTCATTTCCATTTAGATCAGAGGTGAACCAGGGTAGAGTGATTGTGATTTATACGTTCAATATGGAGGTGGCTCTACGAATTGGTGTAAATTTATTAAAAATAAACAGAGTTTGTGTGCACAGCGCTTCCCGAATAACAGACAGCTATGCCAAGCAAATAGTAATTATCAAAAATATTAATAAATGAAATTTTACTCAATGTGTTCTGCTCGAATATTCCTAACCTCCATATAACTTGCAGCAATTAAACAGGGATTTCAGTACGGAGGTTACCGTAAATGCTGCTCCACTAGCTGTGAAGAAGCACAAAGTAAGCAAAGCTATGAAGGCTTATCTGGAACGTGCTCGTGAAAATGATGAATTTATGAAAACGCAGAAGCTTGAGTACCAGATTGGTAAAAGACATTTGGCTAATATGATGGGCGAAGATGCAGAAACGTTTACGCAAGAGGATATTGATGTGAGTACAAATTATATTTCTTTAATCTGTAAATTTTTCAGTTGCCCCAATCATTATTAGAATGCTATTGCCTACTTATTTCCATCTGGTATTTTCGACAAACGAGCCCGGCCACTTATGAAGAGCCCTGAAGAAGTTTTTCCGGCAAGAAAAGCTGCGGAATTCGACGAGACAGGTCGACCTTTTCACAGCATGTTTTATACAGGGCGTCCGAATTTCTTCAAGTTACTTTACGTAAGTCCACTACCATTGTAAATATTGCATTGCTAATATTTAACAAACATTTATTTTTCAAGGATATTGTTGAAGAGATGAATAAAATTCACGATCTTGAAGAACGAATGCTACGGCGAGGTACTCGTGCTGATGCTAATCAAAAAATGTGTGTACAAAATTTCGGCAAAAATTTCAGTTATTTATTTCAATCCTTTCTTTGCTTCAGTGATTTCACCGGATTTCAGTGGATGCCTAAAGAACAACTTGAGTCTATGTTGGTTGAACAGATAAATGACTTAGAATATACAAATTTTACAAACGCAATGGATAGGTTGGTTTCATTGCCTTTTTCATATAAATGCCAAAACTTTATTAAAAAGTTTTCCAAACCGTTATTGGACCAAACCAAACAGTTAGAAATACCAAAACCTCAATTCGATGCTGGTGGTCGCCAATTTGTTACAACGTATGGTGAGTTTATTTAAATAGTAAAAGTGTACTTCGTTCGCTAAGTGTTTCCACTTTGCTTAGAGTGTTTACGTAAGACAGCGCGTGGAGATGTCACTGTTCGCATGCCAGGAACTGGAAAAATCACAATCAATGGCCATGATATAACATATTTTGAAGAACTTCAAAGTCGGGAGCAGGTAAGTTTTTTTTTACATTAGTAGTTTTAATATGGTAAAGCGTGCTAAAATAGGTAGACTTTCAGCTTCCCTAAGGATCTTCCCATTTTCATTATGTATAGGTGGGGTATGTTTTATTTCCTTTGTATAATTCAGAAACCAGTTTAACTGCACTACTTTCAAATAAAAAGGAAAACGAACTCTCCCTTATATAATTCATTCTTTGCATAATCAATGAATGGACAACACGTCATCCATTATATTAGCATTAAAATGCTTCAGAAAGGCCTTTGCGTGATAAGGGCTCAAGAATTTACCTGTGGTAAGGCATGCGGCTACCCTGGCTAGGTCATGTCGTCCGAATGGATGAAAGCACTTTGCTTTAAAAATATTCGTTGAAGTACCCGCTGGTTGAAGCAGAGGAAGACCTCAACTCCGTTGGAAGGATCAGTGGAGTGGAAAGTGACCTGGTGTCAATTTGTAGTTCCAAACGGCACGAAACAGGGAAAAGAAAGGATGAAGGGCGCGCTAATATTAATGCGGCTATAATCGTGTAAACGGTGCTTACGCCAAAAAAGAAGTAAAAGGCATGCCTGTCATAATCATAACTTTGCGGCTACAACAACAACAATAACATCCGCTTCAGAATGTATCGATATTTTTTACGATTCAGCAGAGATGCAAATTCAGTCGATGAGGTATTTTCTCGTTAGCTCATTTGGCCTTTTTGTGTATCCAGCCTTTTTTAAAGCGGTTCCAAACTGATTATCGAGCAATGTTTATGGTCGTGGCGTTTTTGCCTTTATAGAAGAAAAATTGTAGAATATAACGTATTTTCTCCTTGGCGTCCATCTTTGAAATGCGCTCAAACACTTCTGAGTTAAGTGATCACAACTTGTTCCGTATTTTTTAGTACAAAATATCATCATTTTAACGCGATCTAGCTTAATCAATTGAAAAAATAATGGATGACTTGTTACTTGGCCTAATATTCCAAATCTATGCATATAAAAAATTAAGTTAAATTTTCTAATTCCGGTCGCCCCTTGGCAAGGAATGTCTACCCCTGCTTAGTGTAAGCTATAGGACCCTCCAATTGTTGGAAAGACATCAAGACCCTAAAAACACACATTGGAGGAGGAGCTCGGCGGAAACTCGTTGAGCGGTTACAAAACGCCATATATATATAGAGCTATATAAAAGGAAAAAAGTCTTTTTGACATTTAAATAGCAGCTTAAATAGCCGATTAATAATATTTTAATTTGTTGCATGATTTTCCTCGAGGAAAACAAAACGATATCTGGGGAGAGCTTCCATAGGCGCTTGAGTGATTTTCACTCATACTTATCCGACTTTTGGTGTGTGTCTTAATGCTTTACATACAAATTTGTGACTTGTTTTTCATACAACTTGGTCCTTACGGAAAGCTATTACTATCACTTCGGTTTATATTATGTATTGTGCAGTTTTGGGAGTGTTTTATAGAACCTATAAGTTGTAATTCATAGTATTAATTAGAAAAAAAAATATCAATTGATTCAATGTTTCATACTTTTAAGGTATTGTCCCAATATAAAGATGCTATCAGACAGAGCTGTTAATTGATTTTAAAATGTCTGCCAGAATGAGAAAACTCGAAATTTAAATTCAAGAGTACCAGATGGACATGAGATAGTATCCATCAAAGTTTATACCGCTATGAAGAGAACGGCGAGCCGAGTCGATTTAGCCATATCCGTCTGTTTGACGTTCGGTGTTTTCTTTGTCCGTCCGTCTGTTTTAACGCAAATTAGTCTTAGTTTTTAAGATTTTTGAACGACACTTAGTATGACAGATAGCTCCCATATAAGCGACATGTTCAGCGAACGTGAAAATGGTTATACCACACATACACATAATCAATTAAACATTAGTGGTTTTTACTATCGATATCGAATGACTGTAACATATAACTTGCTTACAACCGATTGGTTCAGTTTTGAAGTTTTCAGTCGAAAAATCATATAAGAACGTGGTATTTCTAAAATTATATGCAAAATGGGGCGAACGGAATAAAAATTGATGCGCCTGCTAGAATTTTAACTCGCAATAATATGTATTTGATATTTATAAAATTTAAATATCAAAGGGTATGTTCATAATAAATATGATTTATTTATATAAATAACACTAGCTGCTTTTTGTTTGCAGCGATTTTTGTCTAATTTATTAAACGTTATAAATTCATTTCGCATCCAACTTTTTGCTCCACCTCCTCTCTATTAAATCTACACATATAATATAAATAATTATTTACTAAGCCATACATATATGTCTAATTTTATAATATCTCAACATTTTCTTAAAACTACAATACATAATATACGGCTGCGTGAGTAGATCTGAAGTAAATAAAATTCGGATATTATGAAGTATTTAAGGCAAAAAAAAAAACATTTTCTGTTTTTTCCACTGTTTTACCTTTAAATTGTTTTGAATACTCGACTCTGACACAACCGTAAAACTTTCACAAATTTTCGTACATATGTATGTATGTCAAATACAAATACAAATTTTTGCTTTTCTATTCCTGCAAATTTATGTAATAATTATTTCCTTAAATTATTTTTTTGCTGGTTTGAAATTACTATCAAAAGTTTATCAATCACTTTGCTCGCCTGTTGCTGTTGCGTAATCAATGCCTGTTTCAGTTCTTGAATTTCTTGCGTGAGAAATTCAATACGTTCTGCATTATCGTCGATTTTTGCCGTTATCGTGTTAAAATGTGCTGCTTCCAAGTCGTCTACTGCATAGTTTTGGGCTTGATTATCATTATATTTGTTCTTGTATTGTAAATAAGTTGCCGCAGTCCCTTTCGCTGAAATTGTATGTCCAAAATGTTTTCGCATTTTTCCTACTTCGTAAGCTTTCATTAGTATTTCACGTGGCAAACGTTTTTCACTTGGATTAAGCGGTTTTACACACAAGACAACTCGATAGGCCTGTGGTGAAACAAGCGCAGTATAGTGTAATAGATTGCGTAACCAAGGCGGTAGATAACCGTTAAAAAGCGCTGATTCTATATAGGAAATAAGTTTGGTTTGACGCACTAACTTCGATAGCCCAGCTGTCTTTTTCAGACCTTGGATATCGTGTACAGCAATACCAACTAATAAATTCATCAGAATGATTGTAACGAAGAGTAGAAATAGCACAAAAGTTATCTGCGCGCTCACCTCCAATAGAAATGGTGGATCCTTGCCGTCAGGATCATTGATCAACAACGAAAGATCCTGTTCGCCGATCATCATAACTAAGACCGTGATAAATCCCATGAAAGGATTGGCAAATGAAGAAGAAGATGGAAAGATCACACAAAAACTAATCGTGAAGCCTATTAGCATGCACGAGTAGGCCATAAACAGTTTCGCAAATTCACCTTGAACACGAGTATACATCGCTACGTAGACATCGAAGACTGGTAATTGGCCAATCATCAACATCAAATTCGTCCAACCTAAAAGCACCGCGAATGCACCGATGTGATTTTGAAAGGTGTATGTCTGTTTCGTGTATATGTAGGAAATAACAAAAACACTGGTTATAACGAACCATTCCATAATGTTTTCCACTTGTGTCACATAATGTTTGAACGTCGAATACCCAGTTATGCCGTAGAGCTTACGAAATATCTCCACAATTGTGATGGCGACCAATACCCACCATTGCATTTCCATAACGAATGGATTATTTCGTAGCATATCGCCCAGTATGGACTGTTTTTGGCATAATTCCTGTGCTTGTATTGTGGTATTGTCATCCTTACTGCCGTTGTAGCAGTTATGCGCGAGTGCGGTCAGAACGTAAAGTGTAAGGAAGAGCACAAAAGTGAAACAGAATATTAGGCGTCCTATATAGTATTTACGTATTTTCCCCCATTTAATATATAGAAAGGAGGAGCACAATGGGTGCTCGAGTATTTCTTTCTGACCTTCGTCAACGAAAGTATTCAGATAGCTGATCTCACGAGGATGACAGTGCTGCAGCAGCTGACGAAAGTCCAGCTCTAACTCCACTTCACGATTGACTGGATCCTGCGAATGGTGGAGGGTAATGGCCGCGTCCAGCTTTTGGCGTATCATCGCCACAGAAGCTGGTGTTTTACGTGTGATGACATTCAATGCTGAAGTCCCCTTTTTCGATTTTGTAGTCACATCCGCTCCATGAAAGATCAACATCTCCACACATTGCGCCAAGCCGTCAAGCGCAGCCAAATGCAATGCTGTAAATCCATAAATATCCTTATGATTTACATTGGCGCCCCACTGTATCAAGGTTTCAAGTATATCGAAAGCGTTTTCCGATTTACCAACCGCCGCATGCAGGGGCGTACGATGATCGAAATCTTCGGCATTGGGATCTGCACTGCCATTACGTAGTAGCGACTCAACACATTCCAGACTAGATGTACGCGCCGCCAAATGCAATGCTGTGAAGCCGCGATGATTTTTTAGCTTTGCATCAGCACCCTTTGCTAATAATAGATCGACACACTCAACATTGCCCTCATCCGCAGCCAAATGCAAGGCTGTCGACTCCTTTTCACGTATGCAAATGCGAACGTTAGCATCAGCACCGGGTGCATTCAGCAGCGCCTCCAAGCATTGTGCGTTACCCAAATCTGCTGCCAGGTGTATTGCGTTGGTGCCATTTGGCTTTAGCGAGTTTACATCTGCGCCTTCCACAATGAATAGCTGCACACACTCGAGCGCATTGGCGCGCACTGCGCAATGCAATAGACTTTCCTCACAGTTTGGTTTGTTGGTGTCGATTGTGATTAGTGCACCGTTATTGATTAGAAATTTTGCCGCTTCAGCGGAATTGCCAAAGGCTGCGCAATGGAGCGGTGTGTAACATTTCGGTTGTAAATTGATATTCATACTTTTGCCGATGAGAAAACTCAAAGTCGATAGGCAACCGCTGAAGGCACCTAAATGCAATGCTGATATCCCATTTTGATCGCAGAAATTCAATTCGGCGCCAATATCTAGAAAGCTTTGTAATAAATCCCATCGCTTTAAGAAAGCTGCCCACAGATAACTGAGATTCTTTTCGATTTTCGATGCTGATTCGAAATGTGTTTTTGCATTTTCTGAAATCACATTGCCTTGCTCGATATCCTCTAAAAAACGCACTCGCCCCGCGGCGCTCTTCATTTGATCGATTAGGCTGATGCGCAAAGTGTCGTTGCATATTTGTACACTCAGTTCACTGGTGGGCTCCTCAAAGCTATCATACATGCTGGGAGCACTTTCAGCTGGCGGCGAGGGTCCGCATTCCATGTACTCGAATTCACCGGGTGTAGGATATTGTGCTTCAATCATGGCGTCAGCATTATTGTTGCGCCATCGTACCATTAAATTCGGCGGTATCGATTTAAATCTGTAAGATTAGAAGGAAAAGAAAAGTGAGACTTTTGCAAATGCCGATTTTGTTAGTAGAAAAATTAGAGTAGTTGAAATGAAAAGCAAATGTGTAACTGACTATTACCAAATAAGCATAATATTAAGACAATTAATGTTGGGCGGCCGCGGTAGCCGAGTGTTTAATATTGCGTTCTGATATTCGGAAGGCTCGGATTCATATCCCGGTGCCACCAACGTCCAAAAGTTATGAAAATTAATTTAAATAAAAAAAATTAAGTTAAATTTTCTAATTGCGGTCGCCCCTCAGCAGGGAATGTTCACCCCTCTGCGTGTATTTCGGATATTAAATAAAGCTCCTCAAAAAAAAAACCCATCAGCCGCTTAGTATAAACTGTCCCCTCATTTGTTGGAAAAACATCAAGACGCAAAACCACAAATTGGAGGAGGAGCTCGGCCGAAAATCGCTTCACCGGTTACAAAGTGCCAATTATATACATCATGTAGAGCTAAGATCGAGCGGAACTGAATAAACAAATATGCATGCGCTTTTCTGATTTGCACATATTCATTAGTAACCTACAAAGGTTCAGAACTAGTTACTAGTCTCACTATTCAACAAATTTGAAACTTTTTGCCATATGGAATTAGGGTCATCTAACAATAATATATGAAACAAACATATAGTCTCAGCAGAAATACAAAAATCTAGCCAATTTTATCGCTTAACTTACAATAAATACTTAGACTTTCATAATTATTTGGCTTTTGGTTGGACCCTTTTAAGTTTTCAATAGTAATCTCTTGGCATACCTGAATACCATTTTCATCGTCACAGTGTCGAAAATAAGAAAGATTTATATCAGAAGAACGCAATTTAGACCCTAAACACCCACACACTAGAATCATATAACGTATTAAATCCTTTAAATAACTTTGTGTCAAAAAGTGCGGTGCTTTTAAGTTGACTGTTGAAAATTTGGGTCCGTAATTTCAGATACCGCATGCGTATGCCCACGCTGACTTCTTCCCTAGAATCCCTGTTTTCTGATCGATATGGAGGATTTTGCGCAGGCAGTAAATATGGAATTTTTGGTCGAAGACGAGTTTGGGCAGTGGATAGTGTATTTGGATTTTATTGTAATACCTTTTGTTGAGGTCAGGCAAGAATAATAATCACTTATGTGATACTTTGGTGCCCTCCAATGCATTAGTGTGCCAAATACCACATGGTTAATTTGTTTTTTAGCTCAATCATATAAAAGTCTTTCACACCTTATACAATATTGATGTGGAACTGAAGATTTATCTCGATTCCTTACAGGAAATTCAAAAAGTCTAAATATTAGTAATGCTCCATGTGTCGTGTGAAAGTAAAAAGCTAATTCTCCACACATTTAACAGCAACTGTCGCGGTTGTTAGAATACTTTCGTGGCATATTTACGAAGTAATTAACGCTACGAGTAACATAAGTTAATTGAATACAATAGTTGTACAGTTGCCTAAATAGAGTTATTCAAAGAAAGGAGCATATATAAGGTCAGAAATAACATCGAAATAAAATTAGTATACACTTTTATTGCGGGAACATTGACATAAACAAAAATCATCAAAAAGTTCATGTGACAAAAACAAGACGCTGGATATACGACATTACTCCGCTGGATGGGTCATGTTTTTCGACTGGATGAAAACTCTCCAGCTTTAAAAGTTTCGGACACTTTCTGTTCGATGGAAGCTGGAGAAAAGGATGATATCCTCAGTAGGAAAGATTCGGCGGAGACTTGACGGTGGTTTGAGTTTTTGTTTCTAATTAGCGCCGAACAGGTAAAAGCAAAAATGTCTGGCGTGCTATTGTTGACTCGGTTGTAAATGGTTTGAAAATTCATTTTTTTTTTTTTAAATAATACATACAAGATTTCTCTGAAAGTTGTTTGTGTGTTTTCTGTATAACAATGGTTCCATGATACTATCATTAATTTTTTTTTTGGCATTTTACACTATAGAAAAATCTACCTCCATAAATAATTTAATTAAGAATATTTCTACTGACTAAGAATTTTTGCACGTTTTAAGTTGTATTAATCGTTTCTAATGTAAGCTCTTAAGAAAGTTGGTTGAGTTTTAAGCACACGCTTTTCTCACCATTTTAGTTTTATTTTTTTTTTTTTTAACTACAATATTTAATTTCATTTAATTCTTACAATTGAATGAACGAACATTCTATTTTGTCTAAATTCAAGTTAACAATATTTATATGCAATTAGCGCTTTGTAACAGCTGAAATTATTTTTCCGCTAAACTCCTCCTTCAACTTTTGGTTTTGCGTCTTGATATTTTTCCAACAAATGGAGGGACGTACAGTTTATACTAAGCCCGAAGTCTGAAATACACTCAGACATTCCCCGACGACGGACGACCGCGTTTAGAAAATTTAATTTAATTTTTTATTTAAATTAATTTTCCATAACTTTTGGATGTTGCTGGCACCGGGATTCGAACCCGAGCCTTCCGAATATCAGTCCGCAACGGTAATTACTATTAATTTGAATTAAATATATTACGAATATATGCATATGCAGAAAACTTTTTTATTTCCTTTTCAACTCTAGAGAATACGAGCAATGACTTATTTATTTTTGGATGCTTATATTCTCGCATAAACACACACTTAATAGAAATAGCTGAATTTCACACTTTCGTCTTGTTATAAATAATGTTTAAAAAATTTGCAGTCGGTAATTACTGTTTCACTATTTAAATTATAATCGTGGGGTTGACTCTGTTGTCTATCCATAGCAATTTGTGTAAGTTTAATTGGAAATATATTAAAAAGTGTCATAGTTTATTTACAATATCAATGTTAACCATCAGAGGTTTTTGCTTTGTGCTTTTATGCTTTTTAATTAAACACTCACAAAAAAATGTCTTTTTACAATTGTAAAAATTATTCTCACGTTCACTTTACTCAGTGAGCTCAGTGCTCTTTTGTAAAAACTATAACAAGCATAAATTAAATTATAAATTTTGCTTATAACACATTTTTGAAATTAATATGACCGCACTATAAATTTTTAACTCATAATAATCCATTCAATCTACCGAAACCGTAGTTCATATACTTTAAGCTTTATTTTTTTGTACAAATTTCAGAAATTTCCTTAAGTTCAAATTAATTTGAAGTTAAAATGCTGGTATTGTTTTAAGCGTGTCGTGGCGTTACATTTTTAAATTCAAAATAAAATACGAACCATTATAAAAAAGCATATAAAAGAATCGATTATCTGATGCGGTACAAAAATAATTTCAAAATTTTTAGTATTAATTCTTGTCAGCATCTTTTGCTTGTTGGCTACACATACCCAATCCCAGTCTGCAGCAAGTAATAATTGTAAATTGCATCATGCTTTGGAATAGTAATATAAAAATATATATAAAGATTAACTTTGCATTGCTTATTTTACGGTTATAAATAAGATTTGTAAAAATAGTAAATGAAACTGTAAAACAAGCCATATTTTTATTTTTCAGAAATACGGTAAATTAGAAGATATGGTGGTTTTAAATAACTTGGCCACTCACAATTTGTAAATTAAACACAAAGCTTATATTACTACCACTTTGTATATAAAATTATCTTTTCTAAATGCATTTTCTCAGAATAACCGCCTAAACGATTTTCCACTCAGCTTGTGGACCGTTATTATTATTTTCTTCAAAAATGCAGAGACCTTCAGTTCTAAGCCACCTCCGAAGCTCTTGAAAATATCCATGGGACGCATTATATTTATGCTACCAATACTATAGCAGGTTTTGAGCATCTCCGAATGCTACTTTTTCCAGGGTATAAAGCGATCATTGTACATAAAGACAAAAACCAAAAGCAAAAATAGTTTTTACTTTTTTCTTTATTTATAAAAACAGATTGATTAGTGAGGTAATTCTTCAACAATTATGCTTTAGTCTGTGGATTCACTCTCAAGGTAGATGGAATTTAAAGGTTTACACTAGGGTTGCAACAAAAATGTAAGCATATACTTTTATATTGTTTTCTGATTGTTTTTTTTTATTATAGATAATTAGTAAAAATATTTCTTTTTTGTATCTTAATTACACACATATATTGAGATTAAACTTAACCTCCAGCACCATAATGCTAAAGCAGAGAAAACATAAAGTAGAAAAATTTCCAGCGCGTACATGTTAATCTTTGTTTTAATTCGAAGCTTTCGTTTTGTTGTTTAATAGATACAAATTTCTTTGTCACTTTACGCCTTCAGATTTAAAAGTTAACTAAATAAATTAAAAGCCTTCAAAGTATTGTAGCAAAATTTCACATTTCCTACCGCCGATATAGTTCAAAGTGTTGTATTTACTAGTATATTTTTATTAGCTCGTTAATTACATACATACATACACGTACATGTGTATGTGTAAATATATACATGAATGTATATGTATGGATATGCACTAGACTAATTGAGTTAGAGCTTTTGCTTTTCATAATAATTTGCATGAAATGAGCATTTATAAAATAAGATCTTAATGAAAACTCTACACTTTACGTAGCCGGATCCACGCGTGCCGCCAGTTTGTGTGCAGTTTTTTAAATCGCATTTCAAAACGAGTGAACTGTTTCCACACCAAAACCTTTACATCGACGAAGAAGTGCGAACAGTTTCGAGTTTGTTATGCGAGTATGGTCTTACGTACACACACTTCCCTTATATGTAGACCGCGCTCGAATATCTTTCGCCACTAACCGTATAATTCTGTGAAAGCGTAGCATACACGTAAGTCCTTTCTTACGCCGTACCGTTACAATCGAAATAATTCAAATTGGACATAAGTGTGCGTGTCGATTTGCGCTTTCGACTAGAGCTCGGACATCATTTTTCCTTTTTTTTTTAAACTTATCAGACAATTTAATTCACAAGTTTATGCTTTTCAGTGACTTCTTTTGTTATTTTTATTTGCAAATTTATTTTTGGATTATGCCGGATTAAGATTTGACACATTACCGGCATCAACGCCATTCACTCATCGACTAACCGCTAACCGCTAAGCCCAGATTGTACAAACAAACTGAAAACGATCGAAGTCACATCTTTGCTATTATACTTAGCGGGAGTGCGCATGTGTATTCAATGTTCTCCAAAATGCTAGTATGAATAGCTAAGCTGGTATATATGTATGTATGTGCGTATAAAAGTTAAAGATCAGGTAGGCGGGTGGTGAAGTGGTTAGGAAACCGAATGTTTGATCGGCTTGCCAACTAGTTGGTCCACTGATTTTGAGAAGTTCGCAGTCTGCTGTAGAGAGGCTTGTCTCTCTGTCCAGACTACAGGTGATGGCGCTTAATGTAATTCAAATAGTCATTTAATAATTATGTATGAACGCTGTTCGTTGTCGTCGATCAAAATATATGTTTGTATGTATAAAAAAAAAGTCTAATTGAATTTAGCATAGAATATTTCCGAGAGGTTTTAGTATCTGTGAATACACACAAATGAAGATTTTAATTATAAACCATCGTGGGAAATTTGATAAAAAAAAAAACAAAAACACCGTAAAGTGAGGGGAATTGTTCAGCCCGTAAGTCTCAAATTAATAAAGGCTGGTACGAACCCGCAACCCAATCGAAAGAATGAAACGAAATATGTAAAAGAGTAAGGGTGTTAGTTGAAGAACCAACTTTTATTGTAATTAAACCCAAAGTATTACCTTTTATAAGAGTATTTCCAAAAGTGAATATAAAGAAAGAACTGCCTTTAACTATGAATATGTATTATGCAAAAATGAATATAAAATTATATTGCAAAAAGAAAGAAACTGTCAAATATTAACTTATACGGAATTTTCATCCGTTTATGCTTATAACTATTAACGAATGTGCATAAAATCACACCGGTAATTATAGATAATCTGCAGTTCGGACAATCACACAGTGGCTTTCAAACTTTTAAGGCTTTTGGCTTAAACAGGAGTAATATTTAATATTTGTGCAGAACAGCAACAAAAATGTGCGTAAATAATGATACACATAAACACCAGATATCTGTGAGTTTAATTTTTTGCTGTACTTAATTGTACAAACACACTGTGAAGTTTTGTGTTTTGCTAATTTTGTAAGTGACGGCAAACAATTTCGGAAAAATACTTTCAAATACATATAGTTTCACCTGAGCTTAGCGGGTTCTTAATTATTTGATTTTCTTTCTTATTTGCAATCAAAATCCTCATTAAAAAAAAAATCATGATAATTGCGAGTTCGTGTTGTACCCTCTGGCGATCAAGTTAATTATCCAAATTGACATATAAAAAATAAATTCATACATTTATTGCTATTTTTTTATTTATTATTTCCGAGTATACACATACATATATACGTACATATTCATAGGTACTTCAAAACCTGTACGAATAATATTCAGTTTGAGCGAATAACTTTATTTTATACCAAAATAGCAAATTCTGCAAAAGTGTTAGTGTGTGGAACAGCAATAAAAAAAACGCGGTAAACTTGCATGTTGACATTATTCATAAAAATGAAATTATTTAAATCATCTTATGCCCTATAATATAATAAATTGTTAGTTGAATAAAAGAGAACGTGAAAACATTTTTTAACATTATTTATTGTTGGAATGTAAATGCTTCGAAAAATTGTCAACAGTACATATGTGTAGTTTTGCATATACTCGTATGTATGTATGTATGTACAGTAAGCATATGTGCTAAAAGGCAATTCTCGTAGTATGAATTTACAATGCTTAAAAATTGTTTATTTATTGAACTTAAGGAAACGTAGTTGCAAAAAGAAATATTTTCGTTTTACGCTTACCCACACACACACACTCACCTTGCGTTATTGCCGACTAACGGCTGTTCCAGTTCACTTTTTGTCACCACGCTGATAGAGCGTGCCATACGTCGCGGCTTGGCGGTGCCCTCCTTATAGCCGAGATTCTCCATATTATTATTATTTTTTTTTTGCTTCTGCTTTATTTATTTGTCATGTACGTACATATATCTTTCAATAAGATACAAGGTTTTTTTTTATTCTGGTTCAAATTCTTGGAAATTCATTCAGTTAGCATTTTACATTATACTAATTTGTACAATACATTTTGTTGTGCTTTTAATTATAGGTAAAGTTGTTTGTCCTCACGGCTGTAAAAATAAAAAGATACTAAATCATTAAAGCCAAAAAGTATTACTTAATAAAAGAAAAAGTCTATAGCATTTCATTAAATAGAATAAATATTTATATCACAGTAATTGTCTATATAATTTACAAACTGTCAAGAGAGTGCTTTTCCAATTTTCCTTGAGATAATAATCATCCTAAAAAACAATTCAAACAATGATCATCTGATGTTAATGTAAACATTTAGGAAATTTTTATGTAAATAATAGTTCTTTTGCTTTAGATGTAGAATTTGAAATTTGATAAGCATTCGTTCTCATTTTTACATTTTAGTTACGAAATTTTATTCAAAATAATTAAAAAATAATTAGAAAAAATATTTAATGAAGTAGCTTTCGTGTTCAAATTATGCGCTCGACGCAACCAAAAATGAAACAATTTAAAATATGCAGATATTACTCATACGCAGTGTAGTCGAAAAAAGTTTTTAATTATCTTTGGTTGCCTATATAGTAACTACATATAAAGAATAAAATATATCTTATATTATTGCGTTCCTAGTCACAGATACATAAAGGGAAATTGTAAGCCAGGAGGTGCTCCAGAAAATACTCGGCAATTATTCGCGACAAAGAATGCATTGGCACGGCTTTTGGTACATTCAAACTGCTCTTCTGAAAAATTTGCTTAAGAGCAGGCCGAATATCTAGGAAAGTTTGCCGAAATGAGATTGAAAAAGGTCATCCGAAATGTGCTGGAGTTGTGAATTGTGGAATGTGTGAGTTCCCCTTAGGTAGTGTGAAAGAAACGGTTTACAATCTTGTATGCGATTTCCCTGTCTTGGTTCCGATATTTAGAAACTATTTCCTCGTTGATTGCTTTAAGATAGCTGATGTAAAGGTAAATTTTTCAATGAAATTTATAAAGAAATCGATGTAGTACAATAGATCGGATCAACCCCTAAGCTAACCTAACGTATTGAATTTGTACTTTGGAAAATTCTTAAATTTGTAAATATTTGTGGTAATTTAAGGTTCGTTTTCTTAAAAATCATAGCACACAATTTTGTTATAAAATTTTGTTAGATGTCAGTGAGTAAGATAAAATTCGCTTTGCCTAAAATAATCTAGTAGTTGTGATTCCATACTGTTTGCGAAATTAAGCCCGCACAAATAGTAGTTGTCATCAATTTTCACATACATTTCCACATATTATTTATTTCGTCTTTTTTTTTTTTTTTTTTTTTTTTTTGTAAATAAGCGATTGTGTGGTTATCACGAGCTTTAAACTAAACACTAAACATCTTTGCCGTACTCACTAATAACCAGATCAGGTATGAAAATATTTCGAAATAAGCTTCAATTGGTTATAACCTTTACCTGTAGACTTAATAAAGTGAATAAACTAATATTGCGTTGCTTAATGCATATTAATTAAAAAGAAATACAAGACATCTTGCTTATCTACTAGAGAGAGAGTCTCAAGAAAGTTACGTCACTATTTATCAGACATTACTCGCGTAAAAAAAGGCAGTGGAATTTCAAACCTTGCTCATCTGACATTTTTGATAAAATATATTTATATACATACATTCATATCAACCTCCATACTGTTATATCTAGTACAGTATCAACCCGAATTTGAAACCCTGAGCTCTGCGAGTACAGATTTATGGAGGAATCACGTCTGAAAATTTTATTTTTGTCGCTAACGCGAACTACGCAAGTTGTTTGAGTATCTAAACCAACTTTCAAAATTATAGAAAATTATTATTTTTTCTTTTAATTGCGGTGTCCCTCGGCAAATGGTGTCAAGTCTTCCGATTATATTTCCGACATGAAATAAAAGCTTATAATAAAAATCTTTGGCTGTTCGGAGTCCTTTCACATTTTGTTGTCCGCCAGAGGCAAGAAGTTTTTATTAACATTATTTCTTCGAAAACATCATTCGATAACGATTAATGAAACAAAATAACGAATAAAATATAATTAATGAATTAATGATATTTTTTATCCACACAAGTAATACTTATTCTGCAATTGCACCAACTAACAATGTTTCTACTGTAATATCCTAAAGATACGTGTACATTTAACGTTGATGCTTGTGTATGTATTTAGTCAATAATATGGCGCAGCGTTAGTGTTTACCTATTTTATCACCTCCGCACCGGTGGTAATTTTTATTTAATAAGAATAAATATTTACGCATCTGCCACTCAAAAATAAATCAAAATAGTGGATGTGGTTAGTAGCTGTTATTATCGTTGTTTCGTCTGTTCGTTTGTTGACAAACGTTCGCTGTAAGTACTCGTAAGATTGTATGTACTATGTAGATATGCATTCATAATTGTACATACATATGTACATCATGAATTGGTGAATACTTTGTCAGTGTTATGTTTTAGCATGGACGATAAGGTAACGAACAGTCTGTTTTGTTTAGAAAATTTTTGTTATTATAAATTTGCATATTCTATCTAAATAGGCATTTCTAAGAGATATATATATTGTACATTAAGACCAGAAAGTCTCTATCATTTAAACTGCCCGCGATGAATTTTTTCAGCACTTTCTTTTTGTTAAGTTGGTAGCACTGTCCTTAATTACTATGCCCCAAATAAGCGCGATCTGTTAACCAGTTTGTTTGCAGCAGTTGTTGAAATCAGTCGACCTCAGTTCCCTCTGCGAATTTTCTTTTACGGCCTCAAACGAGCCGAAACGGGTCCAATGGAGGGCAACTTGAGTTTTGGATACAAAAAAAAAAAAACGCATAGGGCCAAATCCTGTGAATAGATCGATGGTATTTGAAGAAGTTTTTGGCCCACAATTCCGGTCGCTTATGACGTATGTTTTCGCACAAACGCCTCAAAACGCTCAAATAATACTCCTTATGTCCCGTTGGAATGAGTTCATGATGAACCAAACCGGGATTGTCGAAAAATAATCAATTTCCGGAATCTTTCTGGTCTTAATGTAAACGAGTATATTCACAAAGAAATACTTTGCATGATAGAAAGTAATTATGTAGGGAAAAGTAAACAGTAAAACTCTATCAAATATTTTTCTTAAAGTAGTCCACGAACCGAACTATTCAAAAAAATCGAATTAATTAAAAAAAAATTAAAAAATTGTTCAACTTTTAATATTTTTTTTTTTAATAATAATAACAAAGCATTAGTACAATTACAATTAGTGGTTCGATTTGTTCAAAATATGGTACATTGGTAGCTTTTTTCTTAGATTAACTTGAATGGAACAATTTTTTTTTTGGACTTATATGTAGTCCTTACCTTATTCTCGTGCGTATAAAAATAAACTCAGTGATCAACGTTTTTTGATAGATTCAGAACGCATTTTCTTGGAGTTTTCTCAAACAGAGTGACAAAAGTACTTCGACAATTTTTTCAAAGGCATGCAAATGAGTATAGAATTTTTTGGAAAACAATAAAGCGATTTTCGATTATAATTATTTGTTTTTGTTCGCTAATCCCGAAATATTAAAGGCAACCCTCTTATGATTGAAATTAAATTTCTTATTCTTTTTATTTAAAGAAATCGAGCATTTCTGTCATGTATAAATTCGTTTTTGCATATATGTATACATATGTATATACTTGAATATGCTTCGCTAAAAATATTTTTATTAATATGATAATTAATCAAATTATTAACTTGGCTTCTCTGATTGACTTGCTTAATTTTTTCTTTTGTATTTTTTCGTTGTTTCACTTGCTAATTGTAATAAAATATTCATATATATGTTATATGTATGTTTCATCAAATTTTCACCCACTCTACCAATTTGAATAAAGATAAATAATTATATTTGCATCAAGCTTCCAATTTGCTAATTCATATATAAAATAATGTGTAAAGTGTAAAATGTGAAATAAATTGTAGAAAAATTTAACTAATATTGAAGAAAAAATTTTCCAAACACTGAGTTAATATTAAAACTTTTCAACTATCGTATCCAAAGAGAAAAGGAAGTATTTCGATTTCATATCCAATAATGAATATCTGCAATTTGCAATAAATTGTGTCTGAAAATGACCCTTAAAACATTCCAATGTCAAAAATTTTCACGTATGAAAAATTTAAAAACCTAAAGCTGGTATAATGTGAAGAGATAAAATTAAATTTAAGAGCTTTTTAAACCAAGTTCATTGTAATCGCGGATGGGAGCTCTAAACTTCTATGCATGTTCTTTTTTATATTACTACTGACTAAAATTATTCAATATTTCTTATACTAGAAAAAACCAGTGATTGAGAACAAACTGATTTTTCAATGAAAAAAATCCCTTCACTTTTACACGGATGTTTTTTTTACAGAGATTCTTTGTTATTCTGCAATGATCTTAAAAAATTTGATCAATAAATAAAAATAAAAACTAGTAATGAAAATTTACATATCAGGATTATGATTATTTTTCATAAGAATAATATACAATATAATTTTAAACTTTGAGCGATCATATAAAAATCGAAAAGTGAAAATTATATCTAAATATATAAAAAATTAAAAATAATATTAATTATTACTTTCGTAAAAATTAATAATTATTAATGATTGTACATTTTTATATCATTGAATAATGATTAGAAGAGGATTTTTTTTGATACAACTCATAATGATTGCCATATCTGAAAAAAAAAAACATATTATAAAAGATTCGCTTTTTTTAGATCTGCCAAATTCACATTCAATAATGGTGATCGATTGAATGCGCAAATAATAATACAACAAATTCAATATGAGTACATACGTATATTATTCATGTAAATAACTTTCCCAGTTCGTTATAAAATTTATACTTAATAACGAACACTTAGGCGGCAAATAATGATTTAATATAAGTATGTAAACAAGCTCCAAAAAATTGGAAGAAGAGCTCGGCCGAAAATCGCTTCAGCGGTCACACAGTGTCAATTAGATATGCATAATAATATATATAATATATAAACAAGCAGGAGTCAACGATGTTAATAATATAAACTATATATACTTCACTATTTATT